ACAGACTTCCAAATTTGCTATTTATGAATAGTGCATTTTAGGCTCAATGGGTCATATTTTCCCCTGCAATTAATAAATGTGATAATGACAACCATAACATGCATTTATATGATAACGTGTTAGGATAACGTGTCAAGATTACTTTACAAACAAGCTTGTGACAGACAGTTTGGGCAGGGCTTAATGGAAGATGGCATACTATTAACAGCAAACTCGATTTTTTTTCTACTTTTGACATTCAAGAATTGATAACTGTTCATACTTTGTCCAGGGCAAAAGGTACAAACTACTAGTTACCAGTGAGTGCTCATGAATTGATGAAAGGTATGGAGAACAAAAACAGTTCCTGGTTAAGCAACTTGGAGGTAAGTAGCCTTTGCTGTGTGTAATATTTTTGAGCAGAATTATCTATGCATAAAACCAGACCATTTTCACTAACTTTGGTGGTAATGCCTCATGGTTCTTTATCATTAACAGCTTCACTAAACTGCATCATCCACCTTAATTCACCAGGTCATTTTGGATCTGCAGCCACAAAGCTGCTGGATTAGTGCTAATCCATTGATCAGTCGCCAAATCATGCAGGAGGGTCAGCCAAGTGCACATGACCTTTGTGGTGTTGATTGGCAAGTATCTGCTCGCATCTGCATTTAAATGAGAGATCTGGAGATGCTGTCATGGGTAAATATTTCCACACATTTCCTTGTGCAGTTGAGTGCCAGAAAAGGATATTCTCTAGACTAGGCTATCAAATTCCACTCTTGATGTACAAAATATAAAATGTTAGCATTGCCAGGTCTCAAGTAAAGTGCTTGCATTTAATATTTCCTGTAGTCTGTGGGGTTTGTTTTCAGACTACTGAACATTAAACATCCCCCTTTGTGGTAGAGCTGGCGTGCAACCATTCTGCAGGGACTAATAAAGTGTTCCAACCAGTCTAACAGAACACATAATTGAAAAAACATACAGGTGTCTGGAAATGTGGAGTACTTTTCAGAGGATAACAGGAGCTGAAATGGAGAATAATATGACAACCAATAAAAAGGCTTTGATATACAGGTACTAAGCTCCAGCAAATCAAAAACAAAAGATATATAAAATGTATACATAAAGCAAATGTAAAATTCCCATGTGTTGGGGAACAATGTAAATGGGTACCAGAAGTCGGTTTTATCTGCCTACGTCTGCATTCTAGCTGTGATAGTTAAATAAAACCAGACTGCTGCCAAGATCATTAAAGTTTCCTATCATATATCAAATGTCCAATGCAGTTGTGATATTCTGCCAGACATATTTAAGATGTTTTGTTAGTTATGGTGCTATCAGGTATTTTTACTTTGTAAACCATTTGTTGATAGTTGTTTGATGTGCTCGAACTCTAAACTTGATGGAAGTAATGTGTAAACAATCAATTGGGTCATCTTATTTTGATGATAAAGATGGACCATGTGGCCATGATCAGGTACAGTGGGGTTTAAAATGTGATATTCTAACAGGAATTGGAAATATCTGCTGCACACTCTAATCGCAAATGAAAACACTCGTCAGGAGCCAGATGTGGTCACATTGAGCAGTGTTAATTTTCCCCCAGTGCGATCTCTTTCTGCAGCACATCAGAGTAGAGTTCCTGCAGGGTAATGCAATGCACATCTGGGAAGTCTCTGTTTATTATTCCTGTTACCAATACCCTTAGTTTGTCTACCCCTCATATGGAATAAAGCCAAAGATTGGCATCGACATGGGATTATATCCTTTTAAGTTCTCCAGCACTAACTAAAATTGATTTCTACCTTTTTTCCTCCAAATAGGTCTTTGAAATAGCAGCATCATAATTCTTTAATCTTCCTCTTGTCCTTTTCAATTTCAACATCTTACCAACATTTCAGACACACACACATACCCTGAAGCAAGCTGATGGTTGAAACCCACTTTGATCTCCATCTCTTCAAAGACTAAAAAAAAAGTGCTTCAAACCTGGATGCACATTATTCCTTCTTCTGTAGTGAATGGAACATCATTTTGACAAATTTCAGCAACAAACCAATTAGTATGTAAGTGCTATGTACAGCAGTTCTCGCTTGCATTCCATACAAGTTTGACATGAATTCTGTGACTTCCAAGTCATCTCACAAGCACAAAGTCACAACTTGACAGATTCCATTTGATTCCGTTAGATAATTCCATAATTCCTTATGAATATTCTAATGTATACAAGATACTTCAGAAACACTTAACAGTGTCATGTGTACAATTACACATTAAAACCCAGCAGGAATTCTGTATAAGTGACAGTAATGAGCAGAACCTGGAACGAGTAGAAATGAAACCAATGTGCCTGAGCTCACCTAAAATTCAGTATTTTGAATGGCAACACAATATGAAGTTCACTTATAAAGTTGAACTGTGTCCTCTGGTGAAGATCTCATTTACACTGTACATTTGATGATGAACCACTGGATTTTGATAGTGATTAGCTGCCATCCAGACAAGATAAATGACAGATGATCTCCTGCAAGTTACACAGTGAATCGAAGCATGAATTACACTTGGCCATCTGTGGTTTTGTCCTTTGAATGTTCTCAGGTGGTCCGATGAACCAGGATTTGTAAATGAACCATTTTTAAAAACGCGCAACTTCAGTGTCCTGCTCACATGCTATGCTGTGCGTGAAGAAAATTCTGAAATTGGGTCTGCTAATTTTAACAGCTCCAATTTGCCAGAGAGTGGAGTGAGAAGCATAAATCAGACTTGCCAAGAAGTACAGTATAAACACAGCATTAATGAACAGCACTTAACAACAGAAGGGTGAGAACATTAGAAATGGATGGAAAATATGTCTGGTTATTTGATGTAATTGACCTCGTAAACATGCGTAGATCACACTCGATTTAAAGATGAGAAAGACTATAAAAACCCAAGTGAAACACTTCTATCACATGTGCTAAGAAGGTTTGATGATTTTTCATTTCCAGACTTTGATGGAACTTCAAAACAACTAACTTATTTGAATTTCAGACAGAATGCATTTTATTCAAGACCTATATTTGCAATACAATTAATTTGTATCAGGTAATACCAGGAAGTATAAGGGGATGTGCCCGATTGGGATCCAAACAGCCAATTACACCACCAGGAGAATCATTTGACACACAGCCCAAAAAAGCGACCATTACATTTTCTTAGTATGCAATCAAAAACGCCAACAATTGTATAAATCAACTACACAACCAATCAAATTTTTTTACATATTAAAAAAATTACATCCTATCTGGAATTCCGCATGCAGTGTTCTTGCTAATCTGTACACTCACAGTTACTCGTCTGATTTCTAGCTCTGGAACTTTGTTGTCTTTGATGAGGATTGAATATTTAAATCTTAGCAATTGCTACATTAAAAATAATCCTCATCACTTCTTCGAGTCGTCTCAAAGCGCTTCACAGAACACACTGTAGAATGAATTGAGTGCATAATTTGTTGGCAAAACGCAGCGGCCAATTGCAAATAGTGTCCCACAAACAGTCATCTATCGAGTGAACGAATTTTTTTTTATATAAAGGATTATTACCCCCAATCAATGAACAACTGGATTCCTACTTACTGCAAGGTAAACAGAGACATGTGGAGTAAGGAAACTTGCCCAACGTTTCACCCAGCCCAGGAATCAAACACAGGTCCTCTCGCTTGTGAGGCGAGTGCTTCAACCACTAAGCTACAGGACTCCACCCTCTTGGATTATGAAAATTCTCATCCCAAGATCAGAATTCACCTGTTGTAACATTAAGGGGACTTTTCATTCACTGAAAATATTTTGGCTCATTGTACATGTCCAGTATTATTTAAATGTCTTCGTCTCATCCATTCGGTGTCAAATCTATGACAAGCTACAGTAAATCGTGTGGATTCAATACTATAAAAAGCAATTTCACATTCTGAAAACAACACTTGGTGCTGGATTTCAAAAGTTTACACCTCTCTGTGTACAAGTACTGCACAGACTGTATGTTTATTAGCTCTTAAAGCCAGCCCAATAAGTCCTCTGAAAGTCTTTTGAACTGAATAGTTGCATTTTTTTAAAATTAAGACATAAGCTTGAGTTCTCATATTCCAATTATTTTCTTGAAAACTAATCTCTTGTAATTGCATGCAATATTTTTCTAAGATGAGTGGCATACACACACACAGATATATTTGTTAATGCAAATCCTTTTTACTTCCTGTATGGACACCAAATAAATCTAAAAACTTCACAGCTAACAAAGTTCAGGCTGTGTAATTATATTTTTAAGGTGTGTAAAATTTCAGAATGAAGTCGACCTTTTAGTCACATTTTAAAGTTCCGTTTGATATTTTTTGAACAAATCATTATTTTATCATATACAGATGCCCAGGCAATCAATGTATACTGATAATTGTTTTGTAGTGTTTTACGTTGACTAATAATTGGGGTTCCAGTAAATTCTAACCTCAAGGGAAGAGCTAACATACTGCTCTAGTTATCTTACATTCCTTCAACCACATCAAAGAACAATAATAGATACTGTGCACCAGAGGCAACTATGGATAATGGAAAATGGCTGATTTCACCTGGTTTATTTTGCTGTTAACTGTCAAATTTGAATCTCATAATTTATTTATTTTGCTAAATTTGGAACTGTTAGAAAATAAAATTATTAAGAGAGACTTTTGGGTTAAGGGTACTTTAAAATATACTGTTTAAGAGAAAATATTGCATTTTTTTAATGAAATCCAGTGTTATCACAAAAATAAAAGGTGGGGTAGTGAACATGGAGGTGTAAGAGAGAAGTAGCCCTTTATGTCAGTGTAACAAAGGTTTTTTCCATTACACAAATCTTAATAAGGATAAACATTTCCGTCTCCACTCTACCCCTATGCCCCATCTAAAAAGACATCCTCGAAACAAACCTGCAAATGCAAAGCGCTGAATTATTAAAGCCTAGCTTGAATAAAAATGAGCATTCTTGTAGCTTCAACTGTTTACCTCATATACTTCTTCATCCAGAATCCTGGTACCAAAGACTGCAATACCATTTGTGTCAAGGACAGCTTTGTTACTTCTTGGCAGTGGTTTTGAGATTTTCTTGTTGCAGTCCACAATCATGGTCACAGTCTTCTTCTGCACACTGATAGCTACCCGATGCCACCTACATGACAAGAAGATAATTTCAAATGATTAATTTACAGCTTTCAGTTTCTATTGCACAATATCCTCTCTTTGTGTTTTGCCAAATTGGCTGAGTGCCTCATGGCTATTACTGCGCTGCTTTGCATCAATCACTCATCGTACAAAATACGCTGATAATTATGCAAAGTCGCACATAAATTTTCATTCACTGTATATTGTGCAATAATATTGCTGGAAGATTAACCTGAAATTTTACGAGGCACAAATAAGGGAATGGAGGCAAAACATGAAACTGAATAGTCAACAAAGTATATCAGAGCTATCTTATCAAATGGCAGTATACTTATTTGGCTGTACACATCATTCATTGTTGTGTGGCTATCATCCAACTACACAAAACCCTTGTTGAACTGAGAGTAGGATTATTTCTCATTTATCTGCACTGCAAACAGCAGAGAAGTTGAAGCAAACTGAATTAGAGCCAACAAGATCATAAGAGAGGTTTAGATTAAGAAGGCCCTTCACCTCATTTGGTCACATCCTTCCAGATTCAAACTCTCCAGTGATTCCAAGTGCATAAAGGAAGCTGATCGAACAGTTGCAGCAAAATAAACAAAATCAATAATACATACAGATGGAACTGCTTTGTGTCCAAGATTATTTTTTCAACTACGCAAATCAATACTACTTAACAAGCACTTCAAGACTGATACAAAGTTATTTCCAACCATACGTTTTCAAAACGAAGAAGGAGAGTTTGCACCTGTAGGTGCTCAGTGCACCTATTATAGGAAAGTCCTGTAAAATCACTTACTAGCTGCAGAAACAGACAAGAAATTGCTGATAAATATCGTAAAAGATTTGGAATTGCAAATCAAAATAATTTAAAATGATTCATTAATATTTAAAATTTGGCAACAACCAGCATATTTATTCAGACCATGTGAAATAACACTAAATTCCAGTTCCATAGAAATTTACAGCACAGAAGAATGTCATTCAGCCCATCATATTCACTCAACTTCTAATTGAAGAAAAATACTCTCCATTTTCAATAATTGAGAGCTTTAATCTCATCTCTCCTTTTTTATTTATTTCCTGCTCGCCAGGGAAATGTATAAGTTTTTATTCTGCAGCTTAGTATATCAGTTTCCAAATCACTGGGAGGGATTCTCAGAACCTGAACACATTGTAAAAACAATCAGCTTTAAAAAGAAAAGGAAATGAGTCAACTTTTAAAGATAATTTCAAGGAAATATATAACCAGACATGCATAACATAAGTCAGCTAAACCCGAATGTGAACAGTTCAGCCCAATCCATTTGTAGGCAACATTCAGAAGGGGCTAAGGCCAGGCAGATCCACAGTACTCCAGGTTCCTTTTGAAGATTGACCCATCTGCATGATTAGCAAGACTTGGAAGAATAAATGTCTATTTGGAATTCTTGCTCTTTGGCTCCTACTAGCCTTTGAAACCAACATCCCAAATGGTAGGATGTTATTATCTGGACAAATACCAAGAGAATTATCAGTGGCTCAAATGGATAACCTGTATGGGTTCAGTTGCTTACGTTCCAGCAATGTTCAATGAATATATAAATTAGAAATATATTCCCAGGGAGAGACTGCACACTCCAAAACCTTTGCTTCTGTGAGTTCTCAGTTCCAGTTAAGCACAGCGAAGCATTCTGTGTGTGATTCCCAAATGACCAGTTCTGGAATGTCTAAAAGCTGTTCATTCAAGTGGGTTTATTTACACAAAAGACAGTCTGGACGTCATGATGCCTAGAACCATTTTGACTGTACTACACCCATTCAACAACAACAACAACAAATTCCATTTATATAGGACTTTTCATTTTGGGGGACGCAAGACTAGACTACGGATCATGATTTGACAAATTCACACTCTTATTTTCATACATTGGGCTCAGGTTCAGATCAAATGGTGTTCTTAGCTGAAATGTCAAGTATTTTTCAAACAATCGCAGTGTCAGTGGGTGTAAGATTGACTTCCCATCGCTGGGCTATAAGAGAACAAAAACTGACTACATTTTCTTGTCCTTTTTGCAATTCAGTAAATCATGCTGCAAGTGTGCATGTTGACTTTGAGCAAAGGAAAGAATAATCTTGGCTATCATACCCCAAGAGTTGAATAGTTTGTCTGCACTTACGATCAAAACCAATATAGTATAGAATAGCTACTTGGCAAGGTACCAAAGGACTGTCAGCGTTCATGGAAGCAGATGAGTCATTGTCGTCAGGAGTAAAAAGGCAATGGAAAAGAGTCAAGAGCAATTAAATTGCTTCACTGTTCGCAATTTGATTTTTCAACCCAAATTCCCTGCTGAAATCACTGCAAACTAGAAGACATATTTGTAACTTCCATAAAAAACGTTTTGGGGCAATGTTCCAAATGTGCATAAAGGACATTTTATGTTATTTTATAAGCTCCTGCCTGCTACTACTCCTCATTGGGCTCTCTGCTCTCTTTTCTTGCAGCACTCATAATCTTTACAAGAAACCAATACATGGAACTCTTCAAAGTTTGAAGAGGGATTGAACCCACAAACTCAAAGGTGAGTGCACTACCAACTGAGACAAACTGATCACAAATCAAAGTGGTTGCCTCATGAGACTCAACTTGCTATAATAACATAATAATCATCCTTGCATTTGATATAGTGCCCTATCAGATCTTCCTGAGATCTGAGAGCGCTTTACAGAATATACTGTAAAGTAAATTGACTGTATATTTTGTGGGCAAAACGCAGCAGCCAAATGCGCACAGCAGTGTCCTACAAACGGTCGTGGATTGAGTGATCAATTTATTATCTTTGACAAATTATTACCACCCAAAAAGCGATCCACCAATCGACTCACTATGGTATCTCTTTCCGCAGAGTCAGTGTTAGCATACAATCTTGGCATTGGAGGGGACAGTTGCATACTGTGCAATACATTGCCCAGGACATCATTCGGATAATACAATGCTCTCAACAACACTTGATATAGTACTGAGCAACAGAAAAAAGGTTGCACAACTAGATCAGTTTCACTGATGAGTATCTTCAGGAAATACTAATGCCACAACCAGCTGGATACAAACATCACTTTTGATTCTATGAGCAGCATGAGCCTTTGTTCAATTTTAGTGGTTTAGTAAAGGACATGCATGCAACAAACACCTGGCTGCCAATAGCAACACCACTGCCACTGAATGATTTTTAATCCAACTAACAGCAATGATTTCACAGCTGGATATTACCCCAATTTATATTGTTTTCCTGAGGAAACTCAATGATGTCCTGAAAAAGGGATGAAAAAAATCTAACATTTTAAAACAATAACACGCTGAGTGCAAGAGAGTTCAGAGTTAGTATTGGGTGAGAAAAGTGGCTGAGAAGATTAAATTGCTGTATATTAAAGAGGGCTTTCAATTTACAGTGGAAATCCATTATGCTGCTCATCTGAGTCATAAACACAATAGTTTTATTATTTTAAAGTGCCTTGCAGCTTCAGAATGTAATCATGCTGGCAACGTAAAATGAGAAGTTGAACTAAACAAAATAAACAATATGCACAGAATGAACTGTCAATGCGGTACCTCAACTTCAATTTCATGAGCAAAAGCAGACAGTGTCACCCACGAGTATCGATAACACTGTTAGATTGCATTATGTCTGGATCATTGCGTTCGGCACATAAAGAACATCGACTGAATCGAAGCCACTAAATCATTCCGTTTGAGTAGTGGTACACGTCTCTTATTTTTCATTAACTGAAACAACAATCCTTGGTAGTGATAGATGAATCTGAACAGACAGCATATGTTAAGTCATCCTAAAAAGGATTCATTTTGACCCCAACAGGTTAAACTTGTGCAATTGTCGTTTTCAGCAACCACTTAAGGAAAATGGATCAAAGTGTCCTTTATGTAAGGGTGGCCTCTGAGTAAGGGGTCATTGACCAGACCCCAACAAAATTTCCATAAGCCCACTGTAGACTCCCTCTAGACTCCTAGCACATTCACCAATGCCTTCTCACCGGTGACGCAGGAAGCTGTGGGCATCAAGTGGGCTGCACAGTGCGTCTTTGGTAAATGTCCTGGGAGGCTACACACAGAAATTGGTAATGCATTACCAAAAGGTAAGTCCACTTAAATTCACTTTTCATTGGCTGCTGAAAAGGGTGTCTGTACACCAACAGGTTTAAAAAAAAAAGTCGTAACTGGTTGCTGAATAGAGGTGGTTTATTATGGAAAATTGTTCAGGACTCTTCTAGGCTGGTTGTTGACAGCAGGAGTTTGCTGAGAAAGATGGTTGCTTTAACAGGTTTAACTGTATATTATATGCAATCAGGCTGCTGACCATGCTGTTGAAGTCTAAACTCTTTGAACAAAAGATTGGGTTGAATCAACAGTTGAATTAGTAAGAGTGCGGTTTACACAGGCCAACTATTAACGGCGTAATTTCAGGAGCAAAAGGCTGGGTTCACTTACTTGCCATCAGCGAGGTTGATTGGGCTGAATATTGGATAATCCTCCGGGGTTGGTTTGCCATTTTGATCCTCGTACAGAAATATAGGAGATCTTCCCACCTCAATACCCAATTGCTGGATACCCTGCTCATTGTACAAGGACAGCAGGAAAGCCTGGATATTTTTCTTAGGTTTCAAAGTAGCTAAGATAGAGAAGTCTTCAGGGAACTGTCCAGCTGAAAACAAAGAACATTAAGTGTCACAATATAACTGCATTGGAATTGATTATTTCAAGGCAAAACTCATCAAATACTTGCTGGCTTGGTTCTATTCAGACCGGAATGGTCTTAAGTTCTTGTACAATCTGTTTTGATAGTTTGTACCAACTCAATTCTCTTCGCCCAAAAGACCAAATTGAGGCCCCAATAATCTCATAATAAAAAAAGCATATTTGTTTCTTAAACGATTTTAATCATATAAACACTTCAACATAGCTTAGTATTGAACCATTGACATTATGGTGACAGCAATTAAATCTACAATGACAGAGCACTCATGTTGCACTGCGCCTATATAAGTTTTGAGGAAGGCATGGCTTTCCTGGGTCTTCTCTGTCTGACAGAAATGCATTCAAGAGGATATAGATGCATTCAAAAGGAAGCTAGATCTTCATACAAGAAAGAGGGGAATAGATGGGAATGGGTGAAGACTTATGTGGAGCATAAACAGTATGGACTGGCTAAGCCAAGTGGCCTGTTTCCATGCTGTACCTTCTTTGTTATCTTTGTGGGAGACTGAGAAGCGATTTTAATTGAGGATAATGAAAATTATGCAGGATTTTAAATTTGAGTCAGAAGAGCTAAAAAATGCATGGGAACTCAGCAACTTCCTACAAGCAATGAAATGAATGACTGATCCATTTTTTTTTGGGGGGGGGTGTCTGGTGGAGGGATTATTATTGATGAGGACAATGCAAGAACATTCTTTGGAAAGCTCATGCAGAAATGGCATGTGGAACTTTACCCCCCCAGGGGTATTAGAGGGTTGAGACGACGATGATTCCTAGTGTTTAGCAGTGTTCTCAGGAGGACTGATATCAGAGAGGAGCCATCTTTGGAGTCCTGTAGCTCAGTGGTTAGAGCACTCGCTTTGCAAGTTTAATTCCAGGCAGGGCGAAACCTTGGGCAAGTTTCCTTACTCCACACGACTAATAATAATCCCTCCAAAACCAAAACCAATAATAAATTGGTCATTTTCAATCTACGACTGTTTGTGGGACATTGCTGTGCGCAATTGGCTGCCGCGTTCGCCCACAAATATACAGTCAATTTACTTTACAGTGTGTTCTGTGAAGCGCTTTGGGACGTCCTCCGGACGTAAAAAGCGCTATATCAAATGCAAGGATTATTATTATTATCCTTGCTCATCTTTGAAATAGTACCATGAGATAGTTAACCTCCATCCCAAACCATCAATTTTAACATCTCCATAAATTTTGCATTAGGAAGTCGGAGTCTGTATTATGAGCTCAAGTCTTGATGTGGGCTCAAATCATAGGTCAGAGTGATACCAACATATTTTAATGAATGCATTGCTGTCCCAATTGAGGTCATCCAAATCAGAAAAGACCAGAGATCAATCAATCTGTAGGACTTCATAAACTTCATGAACCAATGTGAGCGTCTAAATATATGCTTTCAACGGTTATAATTGATACAAACAACAGATGGAATGGCAGTCCAGTGAGCATCCACTTATATTTAAGTGCTAAAGTTTAAAGTGCAGCTGAGAGCTCGCTTGATGGTTCCAGGACTTAAGCGATTGAGTAACTGAGTCAATAAGACTGGGAAACTCCATTTTTGATACCCAATTCTGAGATGAAGGAGCTGAACAATATAGGCAGAGAAATGGGTTTAAATGATGCGCTATATGTAATGCTTGAGCAACAAAGAAAGGTCACTGAAATGAGGCGCCAAGGAAATTTAGCTCTGGATCTATTTCAGAAGGTGGCAAATAATTTTTTTTTAAAGTGTGTTTAGGAGATGAGAAAATTGCCTGAGCAGGAAAAGGAAGTTCAAAACACATCTTTTATTTGGAGATTTGCACACAAAGTCAATTGCCAGGTATCAGAAAATCAGCAGCTTTATACTGCATGGTGGAGGACGGGAGTGGCACAAGAGATCATAATGCACCGAGCTAGGAGGTGAAGGAGAGAACCATAGGAGTGCACAAATTGGTAGGTTTAAAGGTGGGATTTAAAGGCAAGCGAGACAGAGAGATAGAGCAGGAAATTGCAGAGGTTGGAGAGATAGTAACTGAAAGCTCAGCCACCAATGGTGGCACAAAAGAGGGGGAAAGCTAATTTCAGGCACACATTTCTGCTAAGAGTACCCACCAGCACAGAATGTGGCTGTGAACTTCCCTGCTTATCTAACAGAAACCATAAATCAGGCTGTCGTCTGTAACAGAAAGGGGATTTCGACTTCTTACCGCCCCCTGACCCTTAGTAAAATAGCAATGCACTTACTGGAAGCTCCATTTGCTAATTTTATTATTTGTAACCTGTAACTAAGGATCTTTACATAGATGTAATTATGTAAAAGCTTCTTCCTGAACAAATGTCATTTTTGACAGAGGGCTATCGCATCTGGTTTTCCAGGAGCTTCAAAAGATCACAGCATAACAATTGCTACAAGAAGGATATTGGCTGAGGGCGTCAGCAAAAAATATTCAAAACATTTTTGTTGCTCATAATTGTAGTATTCCACCACCAATTTATTTTGTAGCTTGGGGCTAGCCTGCAACTGACTCACTGGATTCTTTTGATATGTTTTGTCCTCATTCTGGTTCCCAGTTTTATCTAGATTCTGTGCATTGCTGCCCCAGGACAAGTTAAGCATGTTTATCAAACAACATAATCCAATGCGCCACTTAGCCCATTTGAGTTTGTAAAATTGTTGCCAAAGTGTATCCATTTTAGCAACATCAAGAAAAGAGTTTTCTACTCCTTTTTTTAAAAAAAGTGATAAGAGTGATTAAACTTATATTTTTCAAAGTCGTATAGAAATGCAAGATCTGTGAAAATGCTGGCTTGATATCTGCAGCAACTATTAAAATTGCTTTTCTCAAAAGCCAAAGTGTGTGCGTGTGTGTGTGTGTGTGCCGGGGGGGAAGGGAGAGGATGGAAGAAATTATCGACCAGACGAGCTCCAGAAATGGAACGTACCACAATGTGATAAAATCACATACCACGTTTTTCAAAGACACGTGAACTCTTTAAAGGACTTAAAATTAAACTGCTGTTTCAAACAATGTTTTTTTTAAAAAGTCATACAGTGAAAGGTTTATTTAGTATTTTACAACAGTATATTATCACTGAAGCATAAAATCGAGAAGTCTTGAGTAGTTCTCAATACTTTCTTTAACTTACTTCTTGCTTAGCTTTGGTTTTTACCTTTTAATCGTTCTATAAACCATTTATGAACAAGTAAGCCCAGAGTTGTGCTTGTTTATCAACACAGTTCCCAAACAATAATTAGCTAGTATTATTATCTAAATATAAACTTCAGCATTTCATGTTATGAATGTGTTCAATCTAGCTTTCTTTCGGTGTCAATATCTCTCCCTCTTTCCTAAAGTTTTTCACCTTTAATTTTTACTCTTTAGAATAGAACATGTTAAAATGTTCTATTGTGACTTAATCTTTCATCAAATACTTAAGAGTTTGGATTAAGACATATGTAGTAATTGAGGAATTATTAATGCTGGTCTTTGTCAGTCCAGTTCACTTTGTATACTGTTTGAGTATACTGCAAGTCCTGAATAATATAGACCTAGATTTGTATCACTGGATGACATACCTGGATATAATTGCTTTGTTGGGGCACTAAGTTGTGCTCTCTTTGTGATTTTGTAGGCAATATCTGAATCTTGCGAGTTTCTTCGGTTCTTGCAGAACCCGGTTTTTGCTCTGGAAACTCCTTCTGGTGAATTTTGAAAGTCTAATACTTTGAGCACATCAACCGGTTCAGCTGTGGACAAAGAAGGAAAAAGAGTCATTGATCAAACTTGCATACGAATATTCCTAACTGGAAGAATATTTTCACTGGGTAAGGCAACAGTCCTTTGAATTTGTCGAAGCAGCATTTTGACATTTATATAAAATGTTGATTTAATTCACCCATTATTTGCATTGAAGAACAAACCTTTAAGCTAAGGTAAGATGGCATCCACGTAGCAAGATATTTGCTCAACGTATCTACACTTTGCCCTTCAAAGCACTGGCTTCAAGGATTGGGAACATGTCTATATCTCCGTGTTTCGCTGATGAGCCAGACAATCTGGCCAACCATCAATACGTGACTTGGATTTTACTGTGGAGAACTCCCTGCTCTTCTTTGAAATAGTAACATTGAATTTTTAAACTCCACTTCAACCAGTAGATGGGATCAGCCTTTGGCAAACGTCTCTTGAAAGCCAGTTTAGTATCAGGCAAGCCCCAGTTACTTGTTATATCAACTTTAGAATGTTAACTGTTAAAGGTAATCCACTCTGAATTGAAACAAACTCAGAACCTTCTGGTATTCACTGAATGAACTACCAAAAACGTTTTAGATAAAAGTCTAGATGAGATATTGTCAACCCAAGTAGCATCGCACTAACTCATGATATTTTCTGAATAAAATGCTAATATTTAATAAAGGTGTTAATTATATCTTCCAGGAAGAATGTTTTTTGTACTTTGAAAGCTTAAGGCTGTTTTAGTAATGCATAAGTGAAAACCTCTGGAAAATGAATCAAAGCAGCACTTTCTTGCAATACTAGATTTTAGGTTAAGAGTCAAAACTTTTGAGACATGAAAGCAAAGTAAAAGACCAAAATCAGTCAAGTGAAACAGGCTGGTTCATAGACATCAACAGATAATCGAGCTGTCCAACGAGATCAATATTCTAAATTATGCACAGACACACGTCAAAATTCTGGGATTCTTAATTCCATTAAACACATCAAACTATAGTGTTAGTTGCGGATGAGCCAGAGAGGCTAGCCAACAATCAATACTCCTCTTGGATTTTACTGTGAAGAACTCCCTGCTCTTTCTTTGAAACAGTAACAGTGGATTTTAAATCGAGAAACAGTGGATTTTAAACTATATTGTGGTATCTATTGTATCACTGACAATAATTTTTATAACACATACCACACCTTTCCCCCTCAAGACCAACTTATCCTTTATTTGTGCCCGAGAGATGCAGATTTTTGTTGGATTATAGTCCCACAGGTATCATCATTCCTCCATTCCTTCCCCAAGATAACTGACCAAAAGGTAGTAACCATTTTGAAGTCAAAATTGTCAGTCAATACTGAAATTCACCAAAAATAGCTGCTCAACAGAGAAAATGACTCAGTTGGCATTAAAGTAAAATAGGTACCTTCTGAAGACCCTGTAGATAAGTACTGGAACTATGGAAATTTTTCACACATAATCAGAAAATGTTATTTTAATATTCAGTATCCAATAATCAAAAAAAATCAGAACTGTTTAGACCGCTGTTGAATTAATTTATCATGAAAGCACAGTTTAAGCAGAGTAGCCAAACCCTTCGCTAATATGCACCTTGCCAATGCTGCCATCAGCAATTTGATTTCCCAGAAGAAATCAAGTGCTTGGTGCTCTTGTAAAATTATTTATGCTAATATGAGGAAGTTCATATTTTTGGTATCCATCATTCAGTAAAACACTCTTATGAGCCAATGTGACAACCAATTTGTGGTAAACATTCCACTGTGTAAAATTGTTTCCAGTGAATTGTTGAGGTCCTGTTATTGAAGACCTGATTGGAGAATGACAGCTACAAAGTAACATAATAAATATCCTGTCTCACTCACAACAATACTAAGTTTCTGACCTTTATTGTGTTGACTGAAATTTATAAGAGTACAGATCTAAAGTGGTAATGTTAATGGTCATTAGTCCAATGATATTTCATGTGATTGTTTATTTGCAATGCTAAGTACAAGACTATTTTGTTTAAGCAAAATAGGGTTTAAACAAAGCAGAATTAAATAATAAAATGTCTTGCATTTGATATAACACTTTTCACGTTGGGAGCAAATTGCAAAGCACGTCACAGGATTCACCATAGACTGTCATTTTGTTAGTGAATTAAATATTTATATTTGTTTCCCAAGACTTATTTTGAAAATATTTTCAAGTGTCCAGTATAAAATAACTATTGCCTTTGTAGTGGGACAAGAATCTCAACGGTAGTAATGGTTGAGTTTCTACCCAAGTACAGTGTCCCCAAGCACCTGAGGATGACTATTCATAATGCGAGGCATATGGGTCAGTGAGAGCAGTTAAAATTAGATTTTGAATTGAAGCGATGCTTTGTCTGATAGATGACAACATTATTAGAGACCCAGTGCAGTAATCATCCATTGGACTCCAGGAGTCGATGACAATTTCAGCTGTAGTCTCAATTGGCTCAACTTCACCCACGCTAGTCTGCAACAAGGGGAAAAAAATAGCTCCAGGCACTGGCTTTTTAAAACCCTGAGTGGTGTTAGAAGAATAAAGTATTGTTCACTGTATTTGCTGTTTTTGGCATTTCAAGCAACTGTTATTACTTGCATCTTTATCAGTTGCACATGTCCTTGCAGTATTGAAAACTGAGCTGAGCTTCATGCTGTTTGGAGAAAGAACAAGGCAATTTCAAAAAAGATTATTGACAGCCGAGCCCTATACTAAAGTGTAGGGCGCATTTCCTCTTCTTCAGAGAATACTTGCTCTGACATGAAGCATTCATTTTCCATAACCTAAGCAAATTATATCCGTGCAATCGCATCAATTTTCACAAGCCTTTCTTCCAAATATATTTTTCTATATCATAGGACTCCACAATTTCCATATTGGCAGTTTCTAGGAAGAAGCTTACATCTGTAGCCCTTTGAAGTTCCATTATACATAACCATATTTAGAATAAACTACAGACATCTCCTACAGACTTCAACAAGAGAGGACCATATGTTGACATGAAACAAGCATTTAACATGAATTAAAATTAACAAAGGATAACCTCTGTTACTGGAAAATTACACTTCACATTATTTCCTCTTTACATCTATGTAATTAATTGCTTATGAAACTTTGATTAGGACACATGACATTGAAGTAATTTATTACTATTCTTTCATACAGTACATTTAGAAGTAAAACCTAGTTTACAGAGACACAAGTAATCTCACTAGTGTCCTCACAGACAGACATTCGGAATACATATAGCTGAACAAAATTAGGATTTTTATGCCATTTAAACACGAGCATTCCTGATGGGTGACGTTCTGACATACATAGAGGTCCCTGGGATGTAATGGAACCTCAGACTGAGAGACCATGATCCTACCACGACAGCAATTTGGATCGCTTAGTTCTTTTCTCAGTTATTTCTATTCTTTTCAAGGAACTAGGCGAAACATAATCTGTCATCCTCTGACCATTTCCTTAAACAGCCCAAACCAATGGAAAGAAATGTGCCTCTCTTCTAAAACGAATACACTGATCAGAGAAATGCAGCTATTATTCCAATAAGCTTCTCCAGTATTACCAGCCTCAGGGATTGTAGCAAGTTAATTTGTTTTTGTCCCCAGATTTGCTTTACAAAATATGGTCAGCCTATCTAATGGTCACAACAAAGTACACCCTCATTAATTAGAACTAAAATGCTGAAAATCTGATCAGCATTTTTAGCCTGAAAAAAAATAAATGCAGATCAAGTAAGACATCTTGAAAACGTAGTTGAAATTAAGCATTCTCTTAAAAAAAAAGCATGTGGTGTCCAATAGTGGACAGTTCTCTTCCGGAATGAGCAGACAAAGTTGTGATTTTCAGACCACACAACTAGAGTCCTACAAGACCCATCCCCATGAGTAACCTTGCAAGTAACCCTCTTGTTTTTATATTACTGCTTTTTTAAAAAAAAACATAATCAAGTACTCGCATCTTTGCCTCCCACAAGGCAGCACATGTGGGGCAGTATGCAAATCCCAAACCAAAGTTCATCCAAGTCATGAATGTCCACTAACATCTAAAGAGGCGCTTATATCATGTCCATTGAACAAAATACAAGAATGGCTGGTTGATCATTCTTCGTTTGCTTTTGGTCTCCGTCCTCTTTATCGCAACCTTTCCTGCTTTTATTTTATCAATACTGTTAAAGAGTCTGCTCCTCTGAACGATCCTCCCTTAGATACTGAAGTTACCAACACTCTTCAGAAATGTTAACATATTTACAAACAAAAAAAAATTACCTAAGAAAAGCAGTGATTTTTTTTATTTTCTAATTTTCTCCCACCTGCTTCAAGAGTATGGCTCATGTACAGTTGCTTGACAATACTGTCTCCTTAATTTCACAAAACTGACCATATTTCACATGTGAGCCTAAACAGCAAATTTCACATGGACCTGACCCAGTCCTCACCCAACTCCCACAGACATGCTCCTTCCATCAGGGATCATTAGACAGTGATCTGGAGTAAAAACCTTGACTGATTAGCTTCCCTCCTTAATCCTTGGGATGCTGAGATCAAGATCAACTGCAATGCAACTGTTGCTGCTTTGGCCGTAATCAGCAACTCAGCACAGACCAGTAATTAAACTTGGAATACTAAGCTATACAAGGTAACCCATCACAATGTATATTCACACAGCAATCTATTGGGAGCGCTCCCTTGTCTTGCGTTTTAAATCTGTAAAACCTTTTTGTGCACTTACCCAAATTCTGTATAGAAATTTACAAAATACATCTTATTAGAGTTACCTTAGATTTTTTGCTGTTCAGACAACTTATAAAATAACAGGCATTGAAACCTTTTATGACTGTACATTGAGTTCTTTCTCTGAAATACCAATTTCCCAAAAATCCACATCCTTTTACGTGCAAAAAATGCAAATAATAACCTTAAGCTAGTGTCAAGAACAGAAAAGTACTCAACTAATGTTAGAAATAGTAGACTAGGATTTAAGGCTCAA